AGAACTCCGTATCATATTCAAATGCTTGAGCCAAGAGGAAATTTGGTGTCGATTATATCTTTCAATAAATAATATAGTAACCAGATAAACAAATAAGTAACACCCAAGAACAACGAGTCAACTAAACTACTTTAGTAAAAAAAAACCAAAAAAACCCAGAAAAACAGACTTGGGCAAAAAAAAGTTTTGGAAACTTTGAACTTTGATTTTTTTTTTTAAATAGTGTTACACTAAGACTTTCAGGACGAAAAAAAGGGTTTGGGCAACACACGCGAATTGTCCTGGTTATGCTTTCCCCCCTCCCAATTAAAAAGCAGCTCTGAGTTGTAAACAGAGAAGCTTAAAACAAACACTGTTTCGGAGTAGGGCGGAAGGTGTGAGTATGTGTGTGTGTGTGTGTGTGTGTGTGTGTGTACGTGTGTGTATGTGTATATTTGTGTGTTTGTAAGGGGGGGGGCGTAAACACCCCTATCAATACTATTGGGTTGTTTAAGAGAGGGAACTCTCAAATATAACGTCCATCCCCGATACAACCAAGCCAAATGAGTTGAGATCCGTGACAACTCCACAAATCGACACAAGTTGTAGAACGCCCAGTCTGTGACTTAAAGTAATGCCTGGGAAGAAGTTAACTTCAGCCCTCTTACTCAGAGCTTACTTCAGCGCAGCATACCAGTATAATATGCGCCTCCAGAGTTTCTACACTATGTGAAGCCACCCTCGCGTCGCCATGACGTCTGCTAGAAAAACGCTGTAAACCTATTTTAAGAAAAATGGGAAGGTGGAGATCGAAATTTATTTTTACTACATTTCTAGAACCAACAAGAAATTAAATTAAGCCGCCATCTTACCGTCATGCATATCACAGATCCCTGATGTCCTTCAAACACTTTGAGCTGCGTCCCTTTGTACATATTCCAACTCCTGATGGTGAAATCCGTACTTCCGGTAAACAACACTCGGCCGCCGGGGTCAACCGACATGCACGTGACCGCGCCCTTGTGACCCTTCATGACCTTGATCACGTGACCCGTCTCGAAGTTCCAGGTGCGGGCGGTGAAGTCTGCTGAGCCAGTGATGAGGATGTCGTTAGAGGCGTCCAGGTCTACGTCCCCGTCGTCTTCGTCCTGCTCGGCCGGGATAAAGATGAGAGGGTAGACGCCTCGTTTGTGGCCTCGGAACACGCGCACGCACTCCCCGGAGTCGAAGTCCCAGGCACGAGCTGTGCGGTCGTAGGAGCTTGTGAAGATGAAGTCGCCGGTGCAGATCATTCTAGGAATGGGAGAGATGACATTATGAAGGTGGGAAGTAGAATGGATAGATGAAGTTGGATTTTTTTTTTGGAGGGTGGGGGGTGGGGAAGAGGGCGGGTACGGGGAAAGAGGGCAGGTGGATGGAGGGGGTGGGAGAAAGAGAAGAGGGCAGAGAGAAGAAAGAATGAAGGGGTAGGCAGAAAGAGAGAAAGCGAGAACAGAGAGAGAGAGTGAAAGAAAAGGGAGGCAGAGACAGAGAGAGAGGGAGAGAGAGAGAGAGAGAGAGAGAGAGAGAGAGAGAGAGAGAGAGAGAGAGAGAGAGAGAGAGAGAGAGAGAGAAACAATGCGACAGACGAGGTTGGGAAAGAAAAGGAGAGAAAGAACGACGTGGAGAGAAGCATTAAAACATCAATTCTGGACAAAGACAATCGTCACAGAAACCTTAACAATCAAGAACTTTACAGCAAACGTCCATACTCTCAAATCCAATCAGCGAAAACGGGGATCCATAGATGCCGAGTTCAAAAATTAATTCCTCTACCCTCCACTCCACACACTCATATTAATAAGTGGAAGAGCGCGCGAGGAAAGGGGGAGGAAAAAAATCGGCGAATCGAATTACCGATTGCTCGAAAACTCGAACCGGTTATGACAAATGAAATTTCGGAGGACGGGGAAAGGCGATCCGTAGCAGAATCTACAGACGCGCGTTGCTTTGATTAGGTGCAACTCGCGGATAATTAATTTTGTTGGATTCTCCGAGTGATTCAAGTGCTTTCTGGGATAGCTCGGGAAGAGAACGGAAGGGGGTTAGGGGATGG